CATTTTGCAGGGAGAATTTTGTGGTTTGTACTTTATGTCCGGCAACGTTGCTCGGGTTACAATATAGCAGTAGTTCAGCTGCACGTCAGCCTTTGCCATTTGACACCATGTCCAATTCATACAGCTTAAATTGGGATGATACAGTCACCAGCACATTGAGAAGATGCCGACAGCTTTCCCAATATTAGCGAGAAATGAGAGAGCGAAAGAGAGAATCCCGAGTAAAATTGCGAGAGACGCAGAGTGTGAGGTTATTGCCAGTGTGAGAGACACAGAGGGAAACAGACAGAGTGAGAGTGTGAGAGCCAAAGAAGGAGAAAGAGAGACTGAGTGTGATAGACGCAGAGTGACTGAGAGAGAAAGAAAGTATTNAAAAAACAGTATGAGAGAGACTGAAAGAAAGAGTGTTGCGTCAACAACAGCAACAAAATTACATCTATAGAACGCCGATGAGGAGGACGTCCCAAAGCGCCAAACGGTCAGGTGTCGGGGCCCGAACACGGTTCAAGAGTGGCGTAGAGCTGAGCGAAGCCAGAAAGGTGGGAGGGAGACCAAAGGCACGGTCGAAGAGAAGGGTGTTGAGAACGGCATTGAAGGAGGCAAGAGAGGAATCTAGGCGAAGGGAAATTGGGATGGGGTTCCAGGGTGTGGGGGAAGAGAGGCTGAATACCTGGACACCGATGGCAGGGCGGGTCGGGCGGGAGACATGGAGAAGGCCGGAGCCCGATGAACGGAGGGAGCGGGCGGGTTGGTAGGGAGCCAGCAGGTCAGAAAGTTAGGAGGCGGCAAGGCCATGCATGGTTTTAAAAGTGAGGACGAGGTTCTTGAACTCGAAATCGGACAGGCTTTCTGAGGACACATCCCTGAGTAACACCGCACGACACGCTGCGGGGGTTGGAGGAGAAACCGTTTTGTCTCGACGAAATTGAGGCGGTGCGAAAGGTAAGACCTGAACCAGTCAAGGACAGAACTTTGAAAAATGAGGTGGCAGACGAGGCGGTGGTGGTGGATTGAGTGGTCCACGGCGTCAAAGGAGGCTGAGATCTCGAGGAAGAGGAGGCAGAGAGAGCCCTGGTCAAACATTCTCAAGCTGCCGTCTGTGACTTTGACCAGAGCAGTTTCCATGCTGTGGAACCTCGGAGACAACGTCTCTCTCAAGGCCCTTGGATAGGAAAGGGAGGTTTGAGTTGGGCCGGTAGCTATATAACGGTATATCTGGATAGCGAGATAAACTTGCCGGTTGCACCCGATATCAGTTTACACTTTTACGAGAAACATCGCAAAATGAGTGAAACAAGTTAAGAGCTGTTCACCGCAATGTGGTTGATTGTTTCTCATAAACATAGAACATGCCGATTTTATAACGACCCGAGATGATCTGATTCATCATGCGGTCACAGTAGTGAGTGCCAACATTTGGGATGTTATGGCATTCAGCAAAGCACCGTTGGGTTTTGAAACCAATATCTGCTGTTTACCACACACGCACATTGCTACCGAAGCGTTGACACAGTTGTTTCAAAACGGATCAATTAATTGTTCCAACAATTTGGCTTCCTTGTCCATTTTTGGTCCACAAACTTGGCTTCTGACTTCACTGGACTGACAAAGCTACACTGATCCTTTGATCATCGGCTCCTAATCTCGATCCTTTGATCCTCTGCTCCTAATCTCGTCGTGTGCATTTCCACTGCGCCCAAAATACAAAATGCCAACCCACATGAAAACATCACCGACAATTTACATATGTAAAACGCTTTCTACGTCAGTAGGATATCCCAGTGCGATGGACAGACATGGATTTGGATCTGTTGACGATTTTGAGTTTAGGAGGTGTGGGTGGATGGTTGGTAGATATAAGAGAGTGGCCGAAGGAGCGACAGAAGAAGAGGATCTTCAGACGGCCTTCAACGAGATAAAGTAGTGGGCAAGTTGATGGTACTGTATGGTAGAGTTCCAAAGGATGGGAGTCAGACAGGCTGAAGGTCAGACTGCCTTTGGTGAAGCGGAGGAATTGGATAAGGCCGGAGTCCGCTGACTGGAGGGAGTAAAGGTCTTTTTCTACGACCTCAGCCAAATTGCCAGCCTCATCTCGTGACTTCCAGGTTTACGGATCAATGTTCCTCTTAACCTGCCCTGCCCAGCGGTTCAGTGAATAGTCTTATTTTAATTATGATTATTATTATTTTATCATTGTTATTATTATCATTATTATAATAATTATTATTGTTCTTATTGTTTTATTATTGTTGCTATTATTATTAATTTTTTTATTTTTATTATTATGTCTGGAGCAGGATATGTTTTTAGCAATAGCCATTATAGATTTTAAAAAGAATTTCTTGTTGACAAAACTTAAGGTATTATCTGGGCTGCAACAGAAGCAGACAATTGAAATGAAGTGCATAGAGTGCATTTCAATTTCCCGAACGGCTTTCATAAAGACCACATGAGAGGATGCTGGCTGAAATCAGTGCTTGTTGTATCATGGGGGGATCTTGCAGATGGATTAAACAACTTGTTGAAATTCTCGGTTACGGCGACCGAAGAAACGCTTGAAGAGGAGAATCTTGAGACGGGTCTTGAATGAGCCAAGAAAGCGGGCCCGATTGAGTGGTAGTGGGGGTAGAGAGGCTTAAGGTAATCTCCACAATAATGGGGCGTGCAAAGTGTGTGAGGTGAAGCAGGCTGCAGCCCACTGAGCTAAGGCAGTGAACAGATTGGTAGGGGTTAGCGGGTAACAGAGCAAGTGGGAGCAAGGCTGTGGAGGACATTGAAAGTGAGGATCAGGATATTGAACTGTATCCTCTGAGTTAAGTGGTGCCAGTGAAGCAATGCGAGGATTGGAGGACACAGTTTGCAGTGTTCTGGGAGACTTACAGCCTGTTTAGTAAGGATATGCGGGGGTCACCAAATTTTCGTCGTCGATTCCTGTATGTGATGGAAACGAGGATGAGGATCTCGGTGGTCTTTGATGAGAGATCATGTTGCAGAAAGGCAATGTGTCCGAAATAGGGAAAGTAGTGGCTGTTCATGGCACGAATGTGTGTCATAAAGGATAGGTGAGAGTCGAAAATGACGCCGAGTTCAGTATTGGCTCCGTGAGATATAGAGTGCATCCAAGAAGGTTGATGCTGTCTGCGCCCGAGTTGTAGAGACGTTGACGGGAACCAAAGAGCAGGGCCTCGGAATTGTTGACCGTCAAGCAGAAAAGTTTAGCTCTCATCCAGCACTTGATGCCGATATGCAGTGTGTGAGGAACGGAGTGCTCCTGAACACTTACCTCCTCTCCTCTTACCTAAACGTTATAAATTCTGCCTTTGAGTGTTGCAGATCCTACATCTCACACCATATCCAGTTTGTCTGCATAGGTGGCTTCTTCTCCTGCCCTCGCACAGGCTCGTGTAGCGCTCTTCAGGGCTCTGTACTTGGTGCTCTCCTTTTCAACTTATATGTGTTCGTTGTTTATAGCAGATGGGATATTTGGTCGCAGAGGGTTATGCTCCAGCGGATTCCGTCGTAAAATTGAGGACGATCTTTTCTATAGGCCAAGCCCATAAGTAAGTAGAGCAGAGCTTTTTCACTTCTTAAAGCTCCTGTAGATTGAGACAGAAACGATTGTTGCACAAGTTGCTAAGAATACATTCTTTCATTGACTCCTGCTCTTACTCTCTCTGCCAATTAGTCCAGATGGTAAATGTACTATCCGTAATTAATACTTTACTATATTTACTTAGCTGCCTTACTGACGTCATATTGTTTCTTATACTTCTGTTCTGCCATACTGAGGACCCGTTATACCCACAGAAATTTACGCAGCTCCTGCTCAAACGCTGCAACATTGACCAATGGACCCATTGCTCAATGGAAAAGGATGTGTGTATGAGATGACGCAAACATCATGACAATGCTCAGACGCGACTGAGGTATGTTGCGTACTGAGCGAATAAACACACTACTCTCTGCAGTCCACTATGCAGTGCGTGTCTTCCTTGAATGCACGTTGTCGTGTAAGATGAACATCCCCTGGCCCACCAGCAATGATCGGGCTTTCGGACTAACTACATGCCCACTCTCTGTAACTCAATCCCAGACTGAAGTTCTGCAGCTCAGATGTTAGAGCACTCGCCTTGCAAGCGATAACTTGGGTTTAATTCCAGGCAGGGCGTAACCCTGGGCAAGTTTCCTAACTCCACACGCCTGGCAATAATTCCTCCAAAGCAAAACAATAATAAATTGGACATTTTCAATCCACTACTGTTTGTGGGACACTGCTATGCGCAATGGTCTGCCGCGTTTCGCCCTCAAATATACGGTTAGCTCATTTAGCAGCACATTCGGTGAGGCGTATTAAGACGTCCAGAAGACGTGAAAAGCGCTATGTCAACGTCAAGGATTATTTATATAATAACACATAATAATCTGAAGCGCTACACGAGGGGTGATTTGTTAATGCAAATTGTTGTTGTTATTATTTTTGTAACCAGGACTCGCTTGCTCACGCAACTCTATCATGGTCCGTATCAAGACGTTCCTCATTAACCACCCTCTTGTTTATCTTTCCCTTTCCAACGCACTTGGCAAACATCCCTTCCTCGGGTCTCAATATTCTATGTTCAATTCTATGTTCAAGTAGGTGAGTGTAATGTATTTTTAACTTTACACAATCCCATGCACTACCCGCGATAATTCTGATAATAGACTCTAAAGTGAATTGACTGTATATTTGTGGGCGAACGCGGCAGCCAATTGCGCACAGCAATGTCCCACAAACAGTCGTAGATTGAAAATGACCAATTTTATTATGGATTTTTGTTTTGGAGGGATTATTATTAGGCGTGTGGAGTAAGGAAACTTGCCCAAGGTTTCGCCCTGCCTGGAATTGAACTCAGGTCTCTCACTTGCAAAGCGAGTGCTCTAACCACTGAGCTACAGGACTCCACTCCACAAAGATCAGTGCGAGTGATTGTGAGATTATCTTCGCAGTATTTTGTTCACAGATTCGTTTCAGAAACCCGCAATTTCCCTGAAGCCAGATTCCCGGATGTTTGTGAAAGGAGAAAGCGCTGAGATCTCGTGTTCTGGGAATTATCCTGGCAGCAAATTCACTTTCTACAGAGACGGCAAGATTATCAAATCAGAACTAGCGCCAAAGATTCATAACGTGGTCACATTCACCCCATCGGAGATCAGCGCAGGACATTACTGGTGTGAATATACTGAATCAATGGACGGACGAGAGCGCACATCACCAGAGCGCGAACGCGTGGGAATCTCTATACTGGGTAGGAACGATTAGCTTGTCTCTCACAAACAAGGGTCAATCATTGCTAAATTGTGTCCAATCACATCCATCACAGCACGACCAACTCCCCACCCTCTTGTACGGTTCACTCTTTGGTTCGAACCCTCCCCTTCCCTCCTTGCTCCTTTCACCATCTATTTTTTCTCTCCACACACTTTATTCCCAACTCCCTCCTTCACTCCCTGCTGCACTCTTCCCCCAAATCTCTATTTCTCCATGCCTCCCTCTCACACTACATTCTCCTTCCTTCCACACATACTATTCCCTTCTCCCCACTTCCTCCCTGTCCCCTATTCCCCTCTATACACAAACTGCCTTCCTCACACGCGCTCTATTCACCTTTCCCTGATTCTCTACGCCCACCCTCCCCTACACCATGTTGCTTCATTCCACCCACCGATTCATTCCCACACGCTTCCTCCATCCAGCATCCTCTATTCCCCTCACCCTCCTGTGAAGGTTTGGCTTCCTCTTGATCGTATCCAGACTAATTGATTCCAGTGTGTTTCAGGCAGCGCGTCCCACAATCTCACTCCAATCTGAGTGAAGTCGTTACTCCTAAATTCTCTGTTTGACCAACTGTTCGTGATCTTATCCTGTTGTTGATAAACACATCTGAAGATCACAGGAGACGTTCAGACTGAATTCCGATTCTCCTGTGCATGGCTGCAGTTGTATGCTACAGCAGTCCACTGCCTTCCATGACCACCCGTTCCTACACTTTGCGCCTCACTTCCTCTCTGTCAAGAAACAATAGATGTGGTCTGTCCTGAATCTGCCCCTCAACAACAAATGGTAACTTCTCATGTCTTCATCTCACGGTGTGAGTTTTTGCGATTATCGTTTAAATTCCAGCTCCGATGCAGAAACCCACCCTTTTTCCTGAAGCCAGATTCCCTGGTGTTTGTGAAAGGGGAACACGCTGCGATCTCATTCTCTGGGTATTATCCTGGCCGCAGTTTCACTTTATACAGAGAATGCGAATTTATCACAACACAACTTTTTCCAAAGCAAAACAACAAGTCAACATTCACCCCATCAAAGATCTGTGCAGGAAATTATTGGTGTAAATATACTATACATATTGACGCCCGCGAGCTCACATCACCAGGGAGCGCTCGAGTGGGAATCACTGTGTTTGGGTGAGATCAAGAGTACGGACTATCTCAGCAAACGACACTCAGTAGCACCTAGTGTCACTGCGATCAGAGCACCATCCAAATATTTCTTTATAAAATCATAGAATTGTAAACAGGGACGGAGGCCATTCAGCCTGTCGTGTCTGCGACGGCTCTTTGAAAACAACTATCAGATTCAGATTCACTCAATCATGTTAAGGTTTCAATCCTTCTGGAATGCATCTACACTATCTGATTAAATCATTGCTTCCGACAGCGAGTTCCACAAGTTCACTTCCCTATGTGAAGCTCTTGCTCCTCAATTCTCCTTTGATCCCCTGATTCTGATCTTCTCCTGTTTAGAACACGAGACTTCCAGACTGAATTCGCTTCCTCCCGTCCCAGGCTGGACCTGTGTGTTATCCCAGCCTTACTGCTCTCCATCGCCACCGCGGTTTTAGCGTCGCTCGTCCCCCGTACCCCCCCTCCCCCCCCCCCCCCCCCCACACACACACACACATATCTCTTTGTAAAGAACCACACGCTGGATTCTGTTCTGAACCTCTGCCTCAAACCCTCACCATGAGAAGCAAGCAAATTGTGACTTCTTCTGTAATCGGAGATCAAATACCAGAGCGAGTGTTTTTGAGTATGTCTTTACTGTGTTGTAGCCTAGTAATAATAATAAACCCTGCAAAAACCAAAAAAACAATAAGTAAATCGGTCATTTTCAATCTACGACTGTTTGTGGGACATTGTTGTGCGCAATTGGCTGCCGCGTTCGCCCACAAATATACAGTCAATTCACTTTACAGTGTGTTCTGTGAAGCGCTTTGGGACGTCCTCCCGACGTGAAAAGCGCTATATCAAATGCAAGGATTATAGTTGTCCGCTGTTCACGCATCAAGGGCCACCAGACAAGTTAGTATTTTGATTTCCAGGATTAAAAGGACAAGCCTGGAAGAATCGCTGTCCGTGGGACAAACGTGACCCTTCACATTTTGTCTAAGATCCACGCTGGCCAGTCTGCCATGACTAGGAAAACTGCAGACCTACGGGGCTCACGATAAAGATGACACAGAATACCACAGAAGAGCAGCAAAAATAGTAATAAGCCCTGAGACCATCGGCATGATTTGCAATTGCTAATTTGCTGCACATTAATCTGGAAAGTATAATTTCATTATTTCCAAGATAACAATTCTGAACGTAATGCTTTGTTGTGTTTAAAAACAGCAGGACAGCAGCATTTCATAGGTGCGTGCAATGTAAAGTTATAGCACATGATCCTTTGAACCGTCCGATGCCAACCCTGTGTCGCGGTTGAGCTGTCCTCCCGTAGTATTATAGTATTATAGTTAGCATCGTTATCATTTGTCGTTATAATCGTTGTTTCTGTTATTGTTCTTTTTATTGTTAGTTTTGTTATTGTCAATAGTGTAAAGATTGTTCGGCCGTGCACCCTCCACTTCGATCACCTCAAAAGGAGCAAATGTATCCTTTGAACGTGGGTCGGTAACCAGAGGACACTGATTTAATGTATTTGGCAAAAGAAAAGGAGGGGACACGTGAAACATTTTCGGGTCTCCAACGCTCTGCCTGAAATTATGGTGGAAGTGGATTTAATGCTAGTATTCAAAAGTGAATCAGTTAGGTAATTATAAAGAAACAAAATTGCATGGATAACTCTCTGGGAGTTGGACTGTTAGGTAACTCTTTCAAACAGATGGTAAAAGCATAGAAGCAGGAAGGCTTAATTCTGAATTTAGATAGTAAATAAAACATTAATTTAAGAATGGATTCAGCAGACGTCTCTCGACAGGTTTCCGTAATGTACTGATTAACACATTCGCCTAACACGCGAAAGATCCCAGGTTCGAAACCTGGCGGAAACACGATTGATTGATTGATTGATTGATTGATTGATCGATGTATTTATTTATTTATTTATTTATTTATTTGTGTATTTATGTATTTATGTATTTATGTATTATTTGTTTGTTTGTTTGTTTGTTTGTTTATTTATTTGTTTATTTATTTATTTGTTTGTTTATTTATTTGTTTGTTTGTTTATTTATTTGTTTATTTATTTGTTTTATTTATTTATTTATTTATTTATTTATTTATTTGTTTACTTATTTGTTTATGTATTTGTTTATGTATTTGTTTATGTATTTGTTTATGTATTTGTTTATTTAATTGTTTATTTAATTGTTTATTTATTTGTTTATTTGTTTGTTTGTTTGTTTGTTTGTTTGTTGTTTATTCGTTTTTTCGTTTATTCATTTACTAATTTATTTATTTATTTATTTATGCTCTGACTGCATGACTTATCAGCAGCGACTCAGAAGTTTGCCGTTTGAATATCGGGGCTGCCGCTCTAGTACAGTACTGGGGCGCTCTCTATGTTCTTGTGGTGCCTTCTTGAAATCGCGTATGCTACCTTGATGAAATCGCCGTTTCCTGCATTCGTGACGGCCTGACAATTTATTAGATCGAAAAAAATAGAGCTATTGGTAACTATGAAGAAAATAGATTAATATTTGGGATCGTCTGGGATTTGAATCCGGGAACTCTCTCATATCTTGTACGATTGACAATATCCAGAACGACGAGACTCACATCCAAGAGCAAAGATCCACTCGGTCAATAGGTTGCTGCTGATTTAAAGGAATACATTGGCAATAGAAAAATGGCGGACATTGTTGATTTCCTGCACGTTTTTGGAAATTGTTGATATCTTCACATCGAATGCCCGATAGAGCAAAATACTAAATACTAGATTGATAGTACTGTAAAGAGGAATATTGATGCTAAGAAGAATTTTAGTGTTTTTTGTATGATAACACTGCTGCACTGGGTCTATAAGTCCTACTTAATTCCCCAAATTAATTGGCCATTAACACCACTGATTTTTGCATAACACTTGTCAAAATCAGTCGGAGTGAGAAAAGTAGACCAGTTTCGTAAAAACTGCGGGCTCGTCCGGGAGTTGAACGCGGGACCTCTCGCAGTTTCCTACATTTGTGGATCCCCGAAGCGAGACTCATAGCCCTAGACAAACGAGCCACATATACGTCATGTCGCTGAAATTTTAATGGATACAAATGGCAATACCATAATGAAGGGGAGTTTGTTAATTTCCTGCACATTTATCAAAATTCATAATGATATTCGAATCGAACCACATACAAAAAGATCAAGCGATGCTCTTTATTCATTGACTTAATGTGTCAAGTAATCGACAAGCGGCAGAGAATGAACCAACATAAAATTCTGGAAACACACATTTCTTGCTATTTTGGCAAAGATTTGCTACGTTTGCTGCCGAGTTAGATTTTTAATTTGGAGTTTGAGTGTCAGTGCACCTCAGTTAGTAGCAGTGTCACGTCGAGTGGGAATTGAAAAGGTGCGACATGCTCCTGCCATAAAGTTCAATATCAATTTGCGGTATGTTGTTTTAACTTAAACGGAAACTAAATCAAATTCATCTTTTGTAGAGCATCGAACTGAATGATGGTGGATCACAACCACCAAAGAACTACTCCGCATCCACCATGTTGTCCACAGAGGCAACTCATTTGACTAAACCAACGAAAGTTAAGGCTCTGAGTGAGTGTCAAACACACACGTTCGTCAATTCTCGATTAAGTACTGTAATATGATTTGGGCATTTTGAAGAAAGACGGCCCAGTCTCTTATATAACGGAAGAACTTTCCGGTCATCAGTAAATATGGCAATTGTGTTTGATTTGTAAACCCTGACAGCAACTGAAATTAACTGCAGCAGCAGCTCTCGTATTACAGAGTTGTAAGGAAGCAAGAGAGGAAACGAGGAGTGGGACCGTGGGATGAAGGGACCCTCATCCATGCACT